TATATAACAATATTAATTATCATGTGACGGGAAAGTAAATTTTCTATTGTAGTTCTCAATTATACATCCTGTCGGGGAAAATTTCCATGGGCTTTCATTTTCATTACATTAGCTTACCTAAGTTCTCATCGTTGATAACTCTAATTCAGAAAAGTGAAAAAGGCACACGATAACTCCAATTCATAAAAGTGAAAAAGGCAGTTCAAATAATTTTTGGCCCACCTAACCAACAATTTTCCTGGGTAATTTTATCTTTTAGATCTAGTTTGATTTTGTTCATACTTCTCGATTTTGATTTCATTCACACTAATTGTTTGATTTTACTTATACTACTTGATTCGTCATCATCTACAACCAATAATAAATTTGCTTGTCTTCTTTAGATGACAATAATGAGTTTCTACAATCATTATAAACAAAATTAAGTTTATTGTATCATATTCTTTGGGAAGTTATTAGTTTGTTTGTTAGTCTTTAGATTTAAAAAGATGCTTCATTTAATTGTACTAAATACATACATACATATATATATATGTGTGTGTCTGTCATTAATAAGTCAGACACAAATGCACGGAGTTTAAAGTCATCAAGTCAAAATTTATGAATCTATGAGTTACCAAAATACCAAGTATATATGGTCATCCTAGACAAATGTGCAAATCTTGTTCAAAATAACGCATAAAGACATAAGCCAACTAATTTTTTCTATTAAAGTGTTCTCATAAACCAAGTGGTGCAAAAGCCCCACATTTTCATTTGAGGCGAACAAGGTTTAATAGTTTGATGATATGCATAAGTCCTTAGAATGATGAGATGCTTGCAATAGAACAAACCATAAACTTCAAATCATGCAAAAATGAATTACCAAAACATTAATGACTATAGAACATAAATCTATATTAATGAACAATTATAGCAAAATGAGGCATTGTTTATAAAAGTGAAAACAGATGAAAACCCATGTATGACTAACTACAATTGTCACATTTAATGATGATTTGAAGAAAATAATGGCCAAAGTACATCTCATTGCCATTACAAACAAAAACTCCTCTTCCACTTATTCACTTGAATTTCTTCTTTAATTCTATCAAAATCTCGTATACTCAAAGCAACCAAAATAGCTCTACAACTGCCCCCTAGAAAAAAAAATTCAGCTTAGGCTGCTTAGATACTATTATGTCAAGAATAGACACCAACAAAACTCACTCAAACAACTGATCAAACACTTGTCATGCATAACCTAAGAAATATTATTTTTCTAGACATCAACTCCTCAAAGCCCATAAAATAAAACAAACAAACCAAGCAATTCTAGAACAAACAAACAAGCAATTTTAGAACAAATAAACAACTAATTCACACCTTAATTAACTAACTTTAACCACAGCCAATAAAGTCTAAAGAATGAGGGAAAAGGGTTAGGTCACATTCACCCTAGGTCGATTGGAAAGAACATTGTGTTCGATTGAGTTTGAATTTTCACTGTATTTAATTGGGCTCAAAGTTTTTAGCAGGTTTGGGCCCGCGCTAGTTAGTGCCAAGCAAGAGAATAATGATTTTCAATAAAGAGAAAAGGATTTGAGGATGAGTAGTGCATGGGTTGAAGAAGGTTGGAAGGGGATTTAGCAAGAA